TTGTGTATAATTGTAAATGTTTCAAATTCCATCTTGGGTGACACAAGGGAAGACCTTCTGCACTGAGACTAAACCCAGGAACAGGGTTCTATCATAGACTCCCATTTTTTTTTTATCATTCTGTGTTGCCTACTTGAGTGGTGTGATGAAAAGAGCATGGGACTTGGCATCAAAGTGGTTTGGAATCCTGGTTCTGCTAATTAATTATTACCTCAGTCTGGTCCTCAGTTTCCTCCTCTGTGAAATGAGGACGTTGGATTAGAGCAACGCTTCTTAAACTGTGGGTCATGACCCATGTAGGGTCGAGAAAAATTTGGCAACAGTGAAAGTTTTCTGAAGGTGCAATGACCATAAATTAATTAAAAATCAAATGCATAATGAATCCGAGGTTTTTCTGGCAGTGCTTGCCCATATTGCACAATGCAATTTCACTGCAGCTTTGGTTCTGAACACAAAGCATGCACACTTTGCACTGTGCATGCTATCATGCCGCACAATGTCAAGGAATGCTGCTGAAACATGAAAAGGGGTCACGAGTAGAAAAAGTTTAAGAAGTCCTGGATTAGAGGACTTCTAAGGTACCATCAAACTCTAGAATGTGTAAATAAAGTTCAGATTCTTGGTGTTGGTATTCAAGGCTTCTTCCCAGACTTAATCTCCTGCCAATCAAATAACTAAAATCAGAAACTCAGGGAAATCAATGATTGCAAAAGAAATTAAGAGACATCAGAGACTATTTCAAATAGTTACGTATCAACAAAACTGTTAGCATAAATAGATAAATGCAATTGCTGATAGGCACTGGTGTGGGGAATTTCCTCACTGGGTGTACAATCACAATTTTGGATCCTCCTTCCTCCCCTCCACAAAAGCTCAATGGACAAAACAGGAAATAGAGAATAAAATAAACCAATTTTACAAGAACTTAAACAGTCCATGAATGAGGTGCCATATAAAAAGGCACCAGATGGATAAGTACTAAAAAAAAAAACCAGCAAATAATCCCTATACTAATTAAACTGTTTTCTAAAATAAAAAGAATGACAGCAATGCTGGGTGTGGTTGCACATGCCTGTATTGTGTGCTACTGGGAAGGCAGAGGCTGGTGGATTGCTTGAGTTGGAGAGTTCTGAGCTACAGTGGGCTAAGTCAATTGGGTGTCCTCATTAAATCTGGCACCAATATGGTGAGCCTGCCCTTCCCTTGGATTCGGGGAGGGGTCATCAGGCTGCCTAAGGAGGGGCAACAGAGCAGATCAAGGCTTCCATGCTGATCTGTAGTGGGACTGACTTGTGAGTGGCTGCTGTACTTCTAGCCTGAGAGTGATAGGAGGACCCAGAAAAAAAAAAAGAAAGAAAAAGAAAAAAAAGAGGCTGTATTAAAGCATAAAGGTAAAATACCAGTATCATTAATGAATATTGACACAAAATATTAAAATTTGAATATTTTAATTCAAACATGAATAAAGCAATCTATCCCTCTCCTAGATCTTCCATTTTGATCAGGTAGGGTTTGTAGCAGGAACAAAGGAGTGGTTTTAAATTAAGGAAAATAATCAATATTTCCAGCATCATTGTACATTATTCCCCCTCCCACACTCTTTGATCCACCCATTGGACTTATCTCTGTTCCTCACATACCACATTCCCTCTTTTTTCTCTATTCCTTGGCACTGACCATTCCCCATGCCTGGAATGTACTCTCTCCTCACCCTTACCTCATGAAGACCCCTCTTCTTTCTAGATGCAATTCAAGTATCACCTTTTATATGAAATCTTTCCTGATCCCCCCAGCTGTTCAAATCTAGCCTTAGACACTTATTATCTGTGTGACTCTAGTTACTTAATAATTAAGTTACTTAATTTCTGTCTGCCTCAGTTTCCTCAACTGCAAAATAGGGATAATAATAGCACCTACCTCCCAAGGTTGTTGTGAGGATTAAATGAAATAATGTTTGTAAAGTGCTAAGCATATGCCTGGCACACAGTAGGCACTTAAATGCTTGTTTCCTTCCTTGTTCCCTCCCTCCCAAACTACCTTGCATTTAACTACTGTGTATTTGTTTGTATACTGTGTATATTTATCCCGTGTATACTTGTTTCCTGGGTTAGAATGCAACTTCCTTAAGGAGTGGGATTGTTTCAGTCTTTGAATTTTTATTTCCATGCACTAGCATGGTGACTGATACTCAATACTTGTTCACTGGTGTACTCTGTGCTTCTGGGAAATAGCCTCCACACTTTTCCACCTGTTTACCTTCTCTCAGGTCATTCCTTATGTTTTGAGTAGCCAGTATTCCCACCTCCTTTATGCTAATTGGTCCTCCCTCTACTTTTCCTTCAAGCCAGGACCCACATTTTATTTCCATCATGGAGCCTTTCCCCGTTTTACCCAGCTACTGATTTTACCGTATTTTATTCTTATATACTTATCACATTTTTATAACAGTATTATCTCCCCTACTAGATTTTAAGTTCCTTGAGAGAAAGAAATGTTTCATATTTGTAGCGCCCCTAGCTCTAAAGTAGGCAGCTAGGTGGCTCACTGGATAGACCTGTGGGCCTGGGGTCAGGAAGACCTGAGTTCAAATGCAGCCTCAGATACTGCCTAGCTGTGTGACCCTGGCAAATCACTGAACCCCTGTTTGCCTTAATCCACTGGAGAATGATACTCCAGTATCTTTACCAAGAAAATCCCATGGACAGCATTGACTATGGTCCACGCGGTCAGGAAGAGTTGAACATGACTGAACACCGAGATCTAAAATGATGCCTTGTGCATAGTTAGATACCTAGTAAATGTTTAGTGAATTAATAGAAAGTATTCATTAAGGGCCCTATTGTGTGAAATTCTACGCCACGTGTCTTTGCTGCAAAATCCACTCTATTTTTATTACCTCAGTTTCTCCTTTTTTGTGGAATTAGTGACTATTTCATAATCTCATATTTCTCCTTATTGACCTCACACAAGTGTTGTGTGGAAAGGGGCACTTATTTCCTTTTAGAGAAAAGACAAAGTGACAGGCAAGTTACTGGAGTCCTAATGCCGAAAGGATTGACCCAAATACAATGCCCTTTGCATATTTATTTTGTATGTCATTTGCATAGCATTCACTTAATTATCAGGAAGCATGGAAATTTCTGTAGCTTTTCTTTCTCCCCCTCCCCCACCTCTCACATCCTATCTCCTTTCATTCATTGCTTTTTAGCCTGCCTTCTGGTGTTTCTCGTTGGGACTGGGGCCCACCTCAGTTTCTACTACTGAGATGTACAGTAGTACAGCCCCTACTACTAGCTGATATATATGTATGTATATATGTATATATATCGATATATATATGCAGTATTTCTTGTGATGTATATAACAACCAGGGATGTGCTTATGCCTCTTCCAATTGTTAAATTTTAAGTGTGAGCATTTACACCTTCAAAATTTGCAAAAGCTATAAATCTGGGTTTGGCTTGTTTTTTTGATTGTCTGGACTTAAGAAAGTGATGGAGAAAATGTTAATGATGCAGATTAAATTTAGAAGTATGTTTGGGGCACACTTTTTCTCCCCTGGAGAGCTAATTGTTAAATATTTACCAGTTTGGGAGGTAGGCACTTTTACTATCTCCCATTTTCTTCTGAGGCTTGGGGAAGTTATACAAGTCTTTCTCATGCTCACACAGCTGATATGTGTTTGAAATGTGATTTTAACTCCTGTCTTTCTGACATTAATTCCAGTATTCCATCCACTACCCTTGTCTACCTTTCTATACTATGCTCTAAAATGTTTGTTGGGTGGTGGATATTTCTTTGTCCTGGAGCATCCATTGTGAATCACTGTATTTGGAGGGCTTCATTCTGTTGCTATACCGTGTTCAGCATGAGGAGGTACAGAAAATTTGCTTTGTTTCATCAAGTATCTCTCCTGCTTTGAAACCCCAGGAAGTTGAGGAAGGCAGAGGAAGGCAGGGGAAGACGTGCCCTGGGATGCCATTAAAGCCAGCCTGTCTTTGGGCATTAGAATCCCAATTCTGACTTTCTTCAGCTGCCTTTGTAAATTTCCTGTTGCATCATCCACTGGCAGAATGAGCAAGTCTGTTCACATAAGGTTACGTACCATCCACTCTTTCTGCCTTTCTTAGCAAAGAGTACTATAGCAAGAACATTAGTATCTGCAAGTCTGTGGTTTGCTGTAGGTGCCTAGCACAGTGCTTTACAATCAGTAGGTGCTTAATACATGTTTCTCAAATGAAGGAATGAATCCAAGGTCTCTTCACCCCCATGAACTTGAACATGAGCTTCTTTTGTTCCACCTAAGCCCTTTACTCCCATTTCCCTGCACATGTGCCCACCTACTCAAATTGATACACAACAATTCTTCAGGTCTTATTGTGAAAAATACTTGGGTCAAATGTAATTTTGGGTCTTGATGGAGAAGAGCAAGCCCTGAAGTCAACCTCAAAGTTGTTTTGGGGTATTAAGAGAAATGAGAATGCTAATAAAAATAATCCCCAATAAGACCATAATAGATCAAATTGGTAAGCTTGTTTAGCCTCATTTGAGTTCTGGGGTGAGGCCTAGACCCAAAGTTGAAGAAGGAGTTGGGGCAGAATAAAGACTGAGAACCAGAGGTCCTGATCCCACTGTCCAGATGTCCAGAATGGGTTTGTGGCAAAAGCCTTTTGAGTAGCATATAAATTCAAATCACGTCACATGCCAGGCAATTGTTTGCTGCCAGGGATTTGGAACGGGGGGAAAATTTTGTTCTTGGTTGAAGTACACCAAGAGGAAATCAGGCCAAAGGAAATGTGTACTGAGTTCGGGCATTGGGCTTGGCTGGACTCCATGCTCTGAGTGCTGCTGCCTTCCTTAAAAAAAAAATTAAAACAAAACAAAAACAAGTCAGTGCCTTCCGCAAGGGCTTCTCTTTCATTTCTCCCTCCTCCCAATACAAACTTTGCCCTTTTAAACTCCTAAGGCTGGAGGAAGCCAGCATAGGAAATGATGGCAGCAAAAGTTTCTATAGTAAGAGCCAATTCCCAGGCCTTATGATGAGAAGGATAATCACAATAAATTGCATAAGGTCTCCCTTTGCTCAGTCTAACTGCCTTCCAGAGCTTTGAGTTAGTTTGTGGAGAAGGCTTTTTCATCCCTTTTCTTCGCTTTAGACCCACCTGTCCGAGTCAGAAGGGGAAGAAACCACAGTGAGACCAGTGGTGTTATGCCTGGGTAAGTGCTGGGGAGGGACTTTCTTCCCCACAGCCTTATTTTTCCTCTGGTTCAATGTATGTACTATCAAAGCAGGGGATGCTCTGAGATTCTGAGAGCTGTCTTTCTCCTACTCTGGGCAGAATCTTCTTGGTAAATAGGTCAGGAGTCAGCAGGGGATAAGCTTGTGGCCAGAGAAGGGCAGAGATATATGGAGGAAATGCTAGGGTTACAGAGGATATTTTACTGTGGGGATCAAGAGAGCCTGATGTTCTCTGTGGTTGTTCCCATGTTTGGTAATTGTGTGTAGTCTGACTTAATCTCCCCAAAGAAGTCCAGGTGAATTCCTAGGAGGTTAGTCCATTGGGCAGTTTATAAGGATTCCCCTCTTAAGTGTAGCAGTTTTAGAAGGAATGGTGCCCCTCACTATATTAACTTTTTTCCCAGATGAGTTTTCCCAGTATAAAAGTTTCTTCTCCATTCTGGAAAGTAATATCAAAATATATCTGATTCTCTTTACCTTTTTATTTGTTAGCTCCAAGCCCCCAGCCAGAGACAGTGTTTCTGGTGAAACACCTCAGTGTTAGTGCTATCTCTGTCTCTTAGCTGGGGATGTCTCTTTCCCCAGTTGCTTCCTCCCAATTGTATTCTCAATAATAAAAACTAAATTAACAACTTCAGTAGTGGCCACTGTTCATACAAAATAAACACTTAAAAAAAAGAAAGGTAAACAGATTTCCCCCCTTGTTCCAAAGGCTTCAGACTCCCATGAAGGCGCTGGAAGGAGGGGTGCTGGGGTGGGAGAGGAGATATATAGGATTACTCTTGCCTTGGGGACCTGTAGTGGGGGCAGGGAAGAGTTCAGCAACACAGCTTCTTTTCTGATATTCCTGTGTCAGGCCGAGTCTTGGCCTCTTTCTTTGTGGTGATTGCCTCTGGCTGATGCTTCTGCCCTTTCAGCTCCCATGTGGCATCTTCTAACTTCCCCTTCTCCAGCTGCATACTTCTTTGGGGGCTTGATTCCTCTTCAATAATCTCTTCTGAACTCAGTGAACTGATTTTTAGTGATAATGATGATAATGATAGTGGCCTCTCATTCTCCAGCCTGTCGTTGCTTCTTGTTTATATATCCAGACTTCACCACGGGATTAATTTCTGCAACTGCATCAATGGATGATGGAAATGGTTGGGAGGAGGTGGTTGGAAATACTCCCCCCTTTAAATTAGGAAAAGTGGAAAATCATGAAGATTATTGCCCATGTTTTTTAACTCTTCTTTGCCCAGGGGGAAGAAGAATCAGAATAGAAACTGGTGAGACTGTGCTTAAATGGAAAGCATAGAAGTCAAGGACACTTAGCTCTGCTACTTACTAATAGTATGGTCCTGGCCAATTCATTTGGCCTTTCTGAGCCTGTTTCCTCGTCTGTAAAATAGGGCTAATGAAATTCCTCGTCTGTAAAATAGGGCTAATGAAATTGATACCTGCCTTTCAGGGTTGTTGTGAGGCTCAAATGAGATAACATATGTAAATGAATTATATGTTGTTGTTGTTGTTGTTTAGTCATTTTTCAGCTGTGTCCAACTCTTCATGACCCCTTTTGGGGTTTTCTTGGCAAAGACACTGGAGTGGTTTGCCATTTTCATCTCTAGCTCATTTTACAAATGAGGAAACTGAGGTAAACAGGATTAAGTGACTTGCAGCTAGTAAATGTCTGGGGACAGATTTGAATTCGGGTATTCCTGACTTTAGGTCCTGTGATCTATCCACTGTGTTACCTAGCTGCCCTTTAATGAGTTATACACCAATGAGTTATCAGTTTTCTTTTTCTCCATGGGCAGTTGTTACACAAATATTAGCAGATCCACTGAAGTTCTAGCTTTGGAGTAGGGGAAGGAATTCTGACCTTGATCCTTGGCCCTGTTTCACTATTAGAAAAATCAGAATTTTAGAGCTAGAAGGCACCAGAGGCATCATGCAAACACAGAGCTTTGCACATAACAGTAAATGATTGATTGGAATGAAAGAACCTAATCCTAACCTCTCATTTTCCAGATGAGGAAAAGTGACTTGTCTATAATCAATCGGTTCTTAGAGTGAGCTTGTCTTTTGCTTAGATTGATGATTTAGGTCATTCAATAAACATTCAGTGCCTACTCTGTGCCAGATACTGCGTTAAGTAGTGGGAGTATGATATTATTATTTTTATTTTATTTTTTTTAGGCAATTGGGGTTAAGTGACTTGCCCAGGGTCACACAGCTAGTAAGTGTCAAGTGTTTGGTCTGAGGCTGGATTTGAACTCAGGTCCTCCTGACTTCAGGGCTGCTACTCTCACCACGGAGCCACCTAGCTGCCCCTGGGAGTATGTTAAAAGAGGCAAAAGACTGCCTGTGATCTCAAGGACCTCACAATCTAATGGGGAGACATAATTGAAGGGGACCATAGTTCCATGGATAGGGCTCTGATGTTGGTGTGAGGTATGTAGGAGACACGCAGATTGCGATTTCATGTACACCCTTAGCCCTAAAGGAAAACTGGAGGGAAGAGATCTCCAATCTGTACGTCCCCAAGTGGCCTGGTGTGGCTCCCCAAGCTGGGAAGGCCAGAGGCGACCTGCAGCTCTGCCTGGGGGCTGGTTGCCCTGGCCAGTTTGTCCATATAGACAACCCATGCTGGAATTAAGTTGAATCAAGGCAGAGCTTGTTACTGGTCTGAGTTCCCTGACCCAGAGCTGAAGGAAACTTGGATGAGGATTTGTGGCTTCCCTTAAAGTTGTCTGTTTTTCTTTACAGTACATCAGGAAAAGGTCCCACCTCAGCCCTAGTCCCAGCCTCTCTTTGCCCCTTGCGATGAAACCAAACTTTGACTCTCCTAAGGTAGAGTCGGAGCAGCAGTCACCTTGTAGAGGCTGGCAAGAGACACAGCGCAGGGAGAGTCAACTGTTCTGGGGGTAGTGGCGGGGCTGTGTCTTGGCAGGGTGTCCTGGGCTTAACGGCTGCTGTTAAAGCAAGAACGTCAATGTGGGGATTCTTTTGTTGTTTTCCTGAAAGGGGCATCGTTGCATTTCATGTCTAAAAATAACCAGGAGAGCATTTATGCTCTTGAGAAAATTGATTGGGTCTCTGGCCGTGAAACCTAATGGACTTTATTTTCCTGAAAGTGTAAGCTTTGCAGGCACCTTCTTTCTCAGGATTGGGAGTGGGCAGTGGGGAAAGTCCCAGAGTTGACTGTGTTTGCATTTGGAATAGGCTTTAATTGGGTAGAAGTGGGGAACCTTGAGATAATCCTATAGTTGCTACGATTTCCTCCCACTCTTATCAGGCCTCAGAAGCTCCCAGGAAAGTTTAATGGATGTGCTCTCCATGAATAACCTCAGGTAAACTATTGTAGACTGGTCTTGGTCTAGATACCTAATAGACCTTTTAGTCCCCCCCACTTTTTTTTGGAATACTTTTTTTTGGGAATCATTATTAAATTTATGGAATAAAACAAGCATTTCCATAACATAGTACAATAAAAAAGATGATTGCACATGAAACTGCAAGTCTACTATGTACAACTTGCTATCCTTCTTAAATATATAACAAAATCATCATGTAAATTTCTTTTTTTTCTTCCGTCATCATGCTCCCTCCTTCCCCCATGGCTGCCATTAGACACAAATGTGTGTGTGTATATATATATATATATGTGTATGTATATGTAAAATTACTCTATACATACTTCTGTTTGTTAGTTATTTCTCAGGATGCAGGTAGCATCTTTTTTCATATGTCCTTTGTAGTTAATTTGGATATTTATAATAGTCAGGATGACTTAGTCTCTCAAAGAAGTTATTTTTCGGGGGGGGCATTTAGGGTTAAGTGACTTGCCCAGGGTCACACAGCTAGTCAGCATCAAGTGTTTGGTCTGAGGTCGGATTTGAACTCAAGTCCTCCTGACTTCAGAGTTGGTGCTCTATCCACTGCACCACCCAAAGTCATTCATAAAACAGTATTGTTATTACTATATACAATGTTCTCTCTTTTCTCTCTTTTTTTTTTAGGCAATTAGGGTTAAGTGACTTGCCCAGGTTCACACAGCTAGTAAGTGTCAAGTGTTTGGTCTGAAGCTGGATTTGGACTCAGGTCCTCCTGACTTCAGGGCTGCTGCTCTATCTACTGTGCCACCTAGCTACCCCTTGCAATGTTCTTTTGGTTCTGCTCATTTCACTCTTCATTATTTTGTGAGAGTCTTTCCATGTTTTTCCAAGGTCATTGAGCTCATCATTTCTTATAGCACAGTAGTATTCCATCACAATCACATACTACAATTTAGTCAGCCATTAATTGAATTAAATAAATAAAACTAGGAGTTGGTTGTATGAAAAAACAAATGAAATGGATAAACAATTGGTTAATTTGATTAAAAAAGAGAGAGAAGCAAACCAAATCAGTAGTATCAAAAATGAAAAGGGTGAAGATACCACCAACAAAGATGAAATTAAAACAATTATAAGGAGTTATTTTGCCCAATTATATGCCAACAAATTTAACAATTTAAGTGAAATTGAAGAATATTCACCTTTTAGTTCTTAAATTGGTCTCATAGGATCATAGATTTAAAGTCTAGAAGGAACCTTAGAGGTTATCCAGCCCAGAGATTTTTAGCCTAGAGTCCATGAACTTAAAAAAATATTGATAACCATATTTCAATATAATTGGTTTCCTTTGTAATTCTATGCATTTTTTCATTTAAAAACATTATTCTTTCTTTCTTTTTACTTTCCAGTATTCACTTTTATAAAGTTTTGAGTTCCAAATTTTTTTCCTCTTCCCATCCCCTCCCCAAGAAAACATGCAATCTGATATAAGCTATATATGCACAATCATATTAAACACACTTCCACATTAGTCATGTTATGAAAGAAGAATCAGAACCAAAGGGAAAAACCATGAGAAAGAAAGAAAAAAAAAAGAAAATAGTATGCTTCAATTTGCATTCAGACTCCATAGTTCTTTCTCTAGATGTGGATAGCATTTT